TCAGCCCCTACCAAGCAACATGAGCGTATGTCTCAGCTGCTTTACTTCATCTCAGCCCCTGTGTCGTTTGAAACGACAACTGTCTATTTGATTTTCTCGTTTTTATTTTTTGCACTCGTTTTGTTAATACTCCTGTTAGTCTGATAATATCGTATTTACCCCCGCACCATGAAAATTATAGTTACAACCGTATAACCCACTCAATTAACAATTCTGAGTCCAAAACAATGTTGCGTACTAAATAGTTTATACACACATACACGTGTAGGAAGAATGCAAGTTCTCTCTGCCGCTACTACCGTTTAATAGTCGACTCTAGGCATACCATTACTCCATGCAGCAAGCAATGTATGAAGATAGGCAGTGTTAACAAAAGCATGTATATTTCAGGTATAACCATTAATTGTGCACAATCATGCTTGCAATGGGCGATGTCGTTGTTACCCACAAAAAATATATGACACACAATATTTGTGTTGGCACCGCAACAAAACGCTGTCTATAGTGTATCAGCTCAAAAACAACGTAGATCTGTGAAAATATTCAATGTAGAGTATATTATATGTAAAGAGTAGAGGTTACACAGCTGCTTGCATCGGTTGCACATTGAATTCTGTAAAAACGTTTAACTACTGGCCTTTGGCGTGGGCGTCTTATAATGATTAAGAGTAAATAGAGTTATCAAAGCAGCCATATTAATGATTATATTTTTTACAAGTGAAATGTCATTTCCTAGTTGTATACAGTCGCCAAGAGGCTGAACTCGAAATAAACAAAAATAAATCATTAATTTTTTGGTCATACAGTATATGTACTATCCACAATGCCTGCAAGCATAGTTCCCGGTTTAGCTCAGAAAAGTTACTGGAATTTAGCCTGCTTGGCTCAGTTGGCAGAGCGTCGCACTCGTAATGCGAAGGTCGTCAGTTCAATTCTGGCAGCAGGCAATTTTTTTGTGTTGCTGAAGACTCCGAGCGAGACACCCGCACTCCTGCGATGCCCCGCAAAAAAATACATCACTGCAAGAAATAAATACCTCAAACCTATATTATTCTACAACCAACACTACAACATTGTTGTATCAGCTGAAAGTTAATGTTTGTTTATTCCGCTGAGCTTATTATATTGGCAACAGCAAAGCTATAAGAAGCAAAGTGCTCCCGGAATTTGTCACAAAAATTCCATACTTCTTGAGGTTATTTTTACAAACATCATTTGACTGTACATGAACTCTTTATTTCTGCGCCATTTATTCTGATTCGTTTAAAGCCACCATGTCGCCGATTTATCTTTCTAACCATGTCGAACAACGTGTGGTCATTAGGGTTATGTTCAAGCTAGACAAGCCAGAAGAGGAAATTCACGAGTTTTTAAAGGCTAGCTTCGGCAGTGAAGGTGCATTCTCCATCCCCACCATTAGACGAATTGTAGGCCAGTTTCGCATATGTAGACTTCGTGTCATAATTGACCAATGTAATAAGATTTAAATAGAGCAACATATTACTCAAGATTCAACTGGGTGTACATGTCATCCAGCTTGTCCTGATTAAAGTCGCGAATATCAGTACGCTTGAGCTTCATGGCAGGGGTCAGTCTGTCATTCTCGGGGGACCAAAGCTCGGCGTCGACACGAATGGCAGCCAGGGTTTCTTGCTTGCCAAGGCTATTGCGTTTGGCGACAAGTTGAAGGTCGGCGAGGACAGCAGCAATAAAGTCCTTGTTCGCGGCAATCTCTGAGGGGTTGTTGTACTGCACGCCGATATCGTCTGCCATGTGAGCAATTTGGTTTTCGTCAATATTGACAATGGCGCAAGGCTGGGTCATGCGGGCATCGGCAAACACGCAGATATTGTGAATATAAAGCGAGTTCTTGTAGGTGGCCTCTAGCGCCTCCAGAGCAATGTACTCGCCGCTGACCAGCTTAACAATATTCTTCTTGCGATCAATAATGGAGAGCTGTCCTTGCAAAGTCCACTGACCAATGTCGCCGGTCATGAGCCATCCATCTTCAGTCATCGTCTCTTTGGTCAGTTCCTCGTTGTCCAAGTAGCCTTTAAAGATGGAGGGGCCCCGGACCCAAATCTCGCCCTGCCCGTTCTTGGCAAAGTACTTTGCTTCGGGCACATCCACTAGCTTCATCTCGACTGAGGGGCACGGTGCGCCAACATTGCTGAATGAGGTGTCGTTGGGCAGCTGAACCGAAACCAGGCCCGAGGCTTCTGTCAAACCAAAGCCCTGAATCATTGGGCACAGCGCAGCGTTCATCAGTTTCTGCACATTACGATTAATGGGGGCGCCGCCAGTAATGACAAACTTCAGGCGTCCACCAGTTGCTTCGCGTGTCTTTTTAAACACAATGCTGTCCATAAAGTTGTGAGGCATGTTGTAGCCGCGCAGCGCGTTCTTTAGCTCGACAGCGCTGTAAAAGAGCTTGCGCACCAGCCAGCTGCTCTTGTCAACTTGCTTCAGCATTCCAGCGCGAATAGTGTTCCAAACCTGCGGGACGCCCATCATAACCATTGGGCGCAGCTCCTTAATGTCGCCCTTACATTCGCGCACACTCTCGTCAGTCAGAGTGCGCGGCGTGCCGTAGCCAATCGGCAGGCCCGAGTAGATGCAGTAAATGTCAACGAAAAAGGCCAACACGTGCGAGAGAGGCAGATACGAGAGCACAACGTCGTGGTGAAGCTCAACGAATGGCTCAATAAACTCGTGAATGCCGCCAGCAACTGACATGACGCCCTGATGGCAGATAAGCACGCCCTTGGGTTTGCCCGTGCTTCCGCTAGTGTACATAACTAGCGCAATGTCCTGGTTGTCGGGCAAAGTGAGCTCAATGGGGTTGCTACTGCCAAGGTCATGCAGCTCATCCATGGAAGTCACGCCAAACTTGGTGCGCACTTTCTCTATGGCCTCCTCGCAGCCCTTGGGCATGCCGTAGAGATCCTGATAGTAGACCACGTGCTTGACCGTCTCTATCTGGTCCATGATGCGGGCCAAGGTGGGCATTTGGTCCGCCTTGAGAAACACAAGGTCGACCTTGGCCTGGTTCATCGCATGCAAAAGGCCGCTCTCGCCCAGCGTGTCGTAGGCAGTGACGACCTGCATGGACTGAGAGAATGCACCTACATTTAGGGAGGTACAGATAATAATTACTGGCAATTGTTAGCGTGCGAAGAAAGAACCACGTGAGACACCAACAAAACGACACACCCTGCTTTTGTCCCTTTCTAGAACGCGCAGACAAGCAGTAATACATGAGCGAGGCTCCAATTATACTTGCAGCTCGCTGCCCGCTCCCTGTTTGCCAATACATAAACAAGGGGGGCACCGGCTGACGCTGCCACCAGAAATTACCGCTTTTTCTTGTACTTACCAAATGCACACAGCTGCCACTCGCGTGAGGTGGGCACGTAAATAAGGACACGGCTCTTGGGCTGTAGACCCAGCTTGACAAAACCTGCACCAAGGTTCTTGGTGTAGTGGTAGACCTGGTCGTAGGTCATCCACTTGTACTCGCCGAGCTTAAAGTAGCTCCACTGCTTGGTAGTATTCTCGATCTTGCCGTCGACTTTGTGCGGTACGGTCTTCTCTTCGGTCACGGTGCCCAGCACATCGCGCTTGCCCAGCGAGTTAGAGTCTGGGTTCGTTTGCTGGCTGTGAATCAGCGCAGCGTAAATGTTAGTGATGTCAGGCCGCGCACGGTCCACAATCCGGTCGGCGGTGGTGTGGAAGCGGCGTGTGGGCGTCTCGGTGTCGCTGCCGGTCTGCGGGACGGCCTTTGAGTAAATCACAGCCATGGTTGTGCGGTTGCTAAAAAAGATAGTGTATTATTAAATAAGGGCCAGGGGATGAAACGGAGAAAAGCGAGGGGAAAAGTAGAGGGGAAATGCGCTGGTGCAGATGTTGGTCAGCAGCACACTTTTATAGCGGGCGGAGCGGGGAGGCCAATGCGCGGCTGGGGAAGGCCCCGACATCCGGCCGCTTGCAATATGTTTGTGGCGCTGTCCTCGGGAATTTTGCCCACCCCTCCGTTAGGTCGCCAGGAGGCGCTTGTGGCACCTTGAGAAGAAGGGGGTTGCCGCTCGGGGCGCCGGGCGGACAGTGCGCGCGGCGGGCCCGCTGCGGAGGAAGAAATGATTGCCATCCTCCGTGGTTCTTTCTTAGCAGAGGCCACCCATGGAGCAAGAGAACGCGAGCGGGGAAACGAGGTCGCGTGCCCCTGGCATATTAACGCACCTGTCAGTCAGCGTGGAGAGGCTGCGGCGGCTGTTGTAGCTCTTGTCTGAACCGGCCAAACAGCGCCTTGAACATGTTCTGCCTTGTCCGCTGCCCGCTTCTAGAGTCTCGGGCGCCTGGCAGCGCCGTCTCCGCCGGCGTCAGCGACACAAACAGTGCCAGAGGCACCAGCCAGACGCAGAAAAACATCAGCGCACACACCTGACCAAACGGGTAGGACATATTCTTCACAAAGTAGAAGAACCACATGAAATGGTTTCCTATCGCCAGCACGCAGCTGCCCAAGAACGAAGCGTCACTTGTGTTCACCAGTGGAAACGTCGCCAGATTCAGCGTGTACACATGGTTGAAGCCTGCTGATGCGACTGCGCGCCACGGACTGACGCCGTCCAGCACTGCCAGCAAATGTACAGCGTCCACCGCCCACACCATGAACTGAATTAGCTTTCGCGTCTGTCGCGGCGACTCCTCCACCCACTCAGAGATAACGAACAGTCCGCAAGCTATCGAAAACACAACGAACGCGCACCCAAGAACCCAACCCAGCGTGGCCAGCGCGCCCAGTAATGCTGGCATCGTGGGAGGTGTCTAGCGAGAACAAATGCGCCTGAATTGCACAGTAAAGAGCGAAAAGAGTGCAAAGTGGGGTATACTTCGCTAGAGGAACGTTCTCGGCTGTCGATCCCGCGGTCCTTGCGCTCCTATCGTATCCCCTACGCCATCAAACCCAAATCCGCAAACTACGCTCGAAGAGAGAAGGGTGAGCTTGGGCCTGCACCGAGCCAAAAAAAATAGGAAAAAGCGATCTGCAGCAATTGTACTTGGTACCACCTTCAGCTCCACAGCTCTATATATCCAACATCCGCACTCCCACTCCCAATGCGTGTCCAGCCGGGCGCTATAGCCAGAAGGCTGCTGCACAGCGGAGCACCCCGCCAGACGCTCTGGTCGTTTCTTGACGACGGTGGCAGCAACGGTGGCGCTTATCAATACTCCCTCCGACACTCGCAGCCCGAGCCGCCCGTCCTGGCCAGCATTCGAGAAGCCGCTCTTGTGCGAGATCCAGTCGAAGCGCAAAAGATGATTTCGCCACTGCAAGGCGCCTTCATGCGCCATCTCGTCCGCTCGCAGCGCCCCCAGACCGTGCTCGAGCTGGGCTGCTACGTCGGCTACTCGGCTCTCTGGCTGGCCCATGGTTTGCAGTCTCTGCCAGGACTTTCTCCGCCAAAGCTGTGGACTTGTGAGCGCGACTCTGGTATAGCAAACCTTGCCAAGGACAATATAAAGGCGGCCGGGCTGGCAGACACTGTCCATGTCCTTAATGCGTCTGCCAAGCACGTACTTGAAGAGTGGGATTCCCAGCAAAAGCTCGATCTTGTGTTTGTTGATGCCAACAAGTCGGCGTGCCAATTATACTACGACCTTATCATGGACAGAGACTTGCTCAGCGATCATGGTCAGATCATTGTTGACAATGTTTTATTTCATGGCCAAGTACACCCGCTTATTGGCGACAGCGGAGTCAGCTCTGCTGGCCCAGGGAGCAACATTGCACACAAAATGCACCGCTTCAACGAGCATGTTGCCATTGACCAGCGCACCGACCAAGTTTTGCTTCCAATGTTTGATGGCTTGCTGTTAATCCAAAGAGTGAAATAGCTACCAAAAAAGTACAAAAAATATTGATGCTATTTGAGCAAGCTTTTCC